GAGGTTCATTAGGTTTGTGCTGGGGGGTACATACAAATTTTTTAGTTTTGTCGTTTTGATGGACGATTTTCCTTTTTTACCACTACCTCACCTCCTGTAGATGGATCATCACTAAACTTGGTATGGAAGCTCACTGGGTCCATGGGAAGATACGTAAAAATTTTTAGTTTTGCATTTTACGTTTTGTTGTTTTTATGGACGTTTTTGCGTTTTTTAGAATTACATATAAGGGAAGCAACTTTTCATATTCAAAGATAACCTTTCATTTATGATGAATTTACATAACTTCCGTCCAGGAGACAAGTACCCAAGCTAGTGTCAAAATAAGATATAACACATAACATTAAAATGGGTACACAAATAAAAAAAAAATTTAATTAAAATAAATTGATTCTACATGTTTCGAAGTTTTCTGATGATGACGTTATAACGCGAAAACATGTAGAGCAATCTTTTTTATTAATTAAAAATGATGTTTTTAACTGTCTACTCATTTCAATGTTGTGTGTTATTATTTTAAGAAAAACGTTAATAAAGTTTGGTATAAAACGGCTTAGTGTTTAATACAATAATATACAGTTAATATTAGCTTAATAATAACATTTATAATGTATAATTATTTTAATTTATGAACAGTAATGAAAAACGCAATGTTTAATACCAAGACGTATTGTCAATAACAGTTCATAAACGATACTACATAGATATATAGATGTCATATTTTGTATCATTATGTTACAGAGTCCAAATTACTTCAACTCAATTTGTATGAGTCACTGTGTAATGAATTATGTTATTTTTGAGTCTTAAATGGCTAAAATCCTTAACTAATGATCAATATTATCATTATTTAGTTATTGCCACAAAAGCAGTAACAAAACGAAAATATTTATTTAGCTCATTATGCCGCTTCGTTAAATACATGCATTTTGAAGTAGCATATTCTCCTCTCGTAGTTTTAAAGAGATAAATAAACATTGTAGATTCTAACAATTTACTTTTATAAATATAGTCTGTTCTTGACATATTTTGTACTAATCTGAAAGATTAATGAACCGTCACTGTTAGCTTTACTGTCGTAAAGGGATTAGCTAATTAGTTGACAACGAGAAAAGCAAAATGTCTGATAAAATACATTCCGCAGAATGGAATAAAACAACACACACCCAAACATATATTTTTATAGTGCCCTAAAATATGATGTTAACCGTACCCTGAAAACAGGTTCAGTTCAAATAGTGATACATGAGAATCGAATTATAAGTTGATATATGTTATTGTTGATAGTATAATATGTATACTCATTTCTGGAATCACTGCTATAACTTGTACGTGTAGCTTGAATTCACCTTAATGGCTGCCTTTTCAGATTTTGTTCCTTGCGAACCAACAAAGAACTGATACAGAAAAAAAATTTAAAGAGTTCCATATTAATGATAATAAAAAAAAGATTAACTGGCGAAAGAATGGCAATGTACTGCGTGTCCTTTATTCGATTGTACTTCACTTCTTTCAAACACTTAAAACATGGCACAATGAATCACCTTTTAAAAAGAAAAGAATGCAAAGTATCAAACTATCGAAGTTCCGCCAATCAATAATAACATTTATAAAACAGCCTGCTCTTGTGACTTTCACCAATGTGTAAGTGCTAATAATACTTTTTTATGAGCTATAACGATACCGTATATAAAACAAATCGCAACGCGAAGTAGCATCGATAAAGTATAATCATCTAGTAGTCTGTATTCCTTCGGAAATGTCGAGTGACAGCTGGCATCCCTGCTACCGTACAAGGCCAGGCCAGACACTTACCTCTAAACACATGTCCCAATATCTTCCATGTGATGGTTGACTACGTAGTTCTCTGATACTAGGTTATTTTATTTTATCCTATAAACGTACCATGTCTTATGATACAGCCAATAAATTGCAACGAGTCTACAAGATGTCTAACTATAGGCCCTTCAATTTTGTATGCACATAAAATTACATGCAATCTTTTTATGCTTCTACTCAGAAACCTATAGCACTTCCGGCTGACAAACCATCAATTATCTTGTGAAACAGTAGAAAAGCCAGAACTGGTCGTTACCTGCAATAAAAGGAGGAAAGAATTTCTCTGTGATAATAATAATTATTCTTCTAACCCTCGAGCGAATTTTAACTATATCGTCGTGTCAGATTATTTATTTCAACTTCAATTAGTTTCCTAGGACGAGCAATGATTTTATTTATGTTATTTCATAATATATTACGATACATAGATAGATAAAGTACGTTTCTGTCATTTGAATAAGTGATTATTTTTTAAATCAATGGGAAAAGCGAGCGTTAATATAAAATCAAATTAACATGAAATTTTATGAACTGAAGAGATGCTATTAAAATGTTGAAGGTTCTACTGTTGAAAGCATAACGGAATGTATAAAAAGAAGATTTATCAGCAAACATTTCATTATCTACTTTCAGTTCGTGCTACCACTTTCTTTCCATTGCTATTTTCAAGAGTTGTAGCCAGTCCCATTTCTAGTTTCCCTTAGCTGTAGAGGTAAATAAAATATGTATTATATATAAAGCCGAAACAACAGTATATTAACTGTATCTGGGCTTAAATCAGGTTGCAATGATTTGAACTTTACAAAATCAAAGAACATTCTCGAAGAATAAGAAGTT